GCCCGTGGCCAACACCAAGTCCAACAAGGCATCCCCCCTGGTGGGGCTGTGCACCTCCTGGGTTACATGAAGGTCCTGGACTCTGTCTAAGAACTTACGGGAGCACTCAGACCTGGCTGACTGCTCCTCCCAGCAGATGTCTGGGAAGTTCAGGTCCCCCATGACTACCACATCCTTAGCCTTCGCTACCTCGGTGAGCTGACCCAAGAATTCCTGGTCAAGCTCCTCTCCTTGGTTGGGTGGTCTATAGTAAACTCCCACTGTTGGGTCCCTTTCCCCTCTTTTACCTTGAACCCTAACCCAAAGCACTTCAGAGTGCTTCTCCCCTGACTCTTTACTAATTAGCGAGGATGTGTATTCCTCCTTGATATAGAGTGCCACTCCCCCCCCTCTCTTTCCTATCCTGTCCCTCCTGTACAGCCTATAGCCCTTGACATTCACCGCCCAATCGTGCTTGGAGTCCCACCATGTTTCCGTAATCCCCACAATGTCCGGGCTGGTGTCAGCCAGCAGGAGGGCGAGTTCCTCCTGCTTGTTCCCCATGCTACGGGCATTAGTGTAGAGGCATTTCAGGCCTCCAGTAGATGTGTATACTGACCCCCTAGTCCCAGCATTCCCCTGGTCCCCATCTCTTACCTGTTTATCTGCTACGCTTGTCGGTCTGGGCTGGGCTGTAGTTGTAGTTGTGTTAGTCTTTGCAGTGGCAGGACATTGCTTTGCGTTTTTGTGGTTGTACAAGAGAGCTGTTCATGCACTTCTAAGAAGTGATTAGACAAACATTTGTAGAGGGTGGTTAAGGTAGGGTGTATCCTGCCTTGAGCAGAAGGTTGGACTAGATGACCTCCTAAGATCTTTTCCAGCTAGTGGCGATGCATAGGGGGTGTATGGGGGTACATGTGCACCCCCTGAGAGTGCTGGTACACACTCTGACAGCCAGCATTCCCTACTTAGGCCCTGGGGGGGGGGCAGGCAGGAACACTGGTGTCCCCCCCGAGAGTGCTGGCGGGGGAGTGGGGGTGCCAGGAGGAGTGCCACTGGCACTTCTGAGTCAGCATGATCAGCCACAGGGAACCCCCTCCCAAGGTCGGCATGATCGATTTCCCTCCCCACCCCCCAATTGCTGACTGGGTGCTTGGGGGTGGGGGAGGAGGGGGAGAGGCAAGTGCCCCCCTGACTCAGGAGACACCAGTTGCCCATGTTTCCAGCCTTACTTTTCTATGATTCTAAGTACTCATGTGTGAATTCTCTGGTGTAATAAAATGGACAATGTCACGGAGTAGGAGAGAGATGCCTGATTATTACAGCGATCAAGGAACATGCTTAACTGTCAGGATAAGAATGAGCAAGGTATACTTCTGCTGCAAATCAGCAAACCAGAGTGGCTTTTTTGGCAAGACTTTTGGCACCGTTATAACCATGTGTCCTGTGTTTTGGCTTTCCATTCAGAGAAAGAATGGTTTGCAGTTAAAGTGCTGGACTGAGTCAGACTTGCTTCTCATTTCCAATTCTGCTGTGGGCTTCTGTTACTATATGTGATTCACTTACAGCTATCCCTAGAGATGTTATTTTTTTTTCTTCAGTGTATCAGCTGGTATCCTGCATGCATTGCCTAGCAGAGGATTTCTTAAACTGTGGGATGTTTCTTCCACTGGGAGGTTGGAGGGGAGGAGGTGGGAAAGGGAGAGGCAGGGGTGGGAAAACCTCCAATAGGGACATACGCAAATCATGGCAGCAGTAAGCATTTTCTCCCCACTACTTCAGTCACTGCCACCTCTTCCTCTACTGCTGATTACTCTCCTGCTAGTGATTTTGAATTAGGGTCAGGAATTGGACTAGGGGCAGGTGCAAAGGGAAGTGGCAGTGGCTGGAGAGAGAATGAGTGCTTGTGTGTGTTTGGAGCAGGGGAGGCCAGAGAATTGGTGGTAGTTGAAATACGGGAGGCATGACTTTACTACTGGAGGGGGGAGAAGGTAAATCAACCAGGCTTAGGAAATGCTGGGCTCAACTAACACCACTCGCTTTGTCTTCCCATATATTCAGCAGGTGTATGAATTGTTAGTGCTGTACTACATTTGTATTCTATTAAAGAGCTGATAAATTTTAAATCAGTAACACTGATGCTTTGTAAGTATGAGATGGCTTTAGAAAAACATTAACTAAATCCTGAACTACTGTGTTTCAAGTCCCACAGTGTAAGATTTTTTTTTTTTTTTTAACTTTTTATAAACAAATCCAACTTACAATAAATTGTAACTTTTTAAAGATGCATCCAATCCCCCAGGATGTATGTAAAGATGACATTTATCAACATTGTTCTCTAAAGTCACTGTACACAGATGAATCTTCTGTTCTTCTCTTCTCTTCGTTTTGGTCTCTGGCAGTTCCTTTGCTTTAGCTGCTGTTAAACTGCTTACACTTCTTCATATTTATTTGTAACCTGCTTAATAATTTACTTCCCCTTCCCTCCCCGCATCATAACTATGCATAATACAAAGTCTGCTACCCATCTCTGCTTACAGATGTATGCATTCCAAATTTGTTCTTAACTGTTAGCCAATAGAACTTGTATTTTCTTTTATTATTCAAAAGAAGTTTTTTCAAATGTCTTGTGTGGCGGCAGAGGGTTTTCTTTGTTTGTTTTTGTTTCCTCCTCCAGCAGATTTCAAGGACTTCCACCACATTTTTAAATCTCCCTCCCTCTCTCCCTCCTTCTCCCCTGTAGAACATTGCTTTGATAGGAAAATTTTCCTATTGCTAAAACTTTCCAGATTTATTTTTTTTTTAATTCAAACTAATTGGTAATGTTTTTAGGTAGGTCAATTCTGTTCCAGGCTTTAGCAGCTGTAATTCTTGCAACCATTCAGGCTAGGGACAGACATTCACAAAGCCTGAGCCTAGGCTAAATCAGTTTGTAATTGCAAAGACATCCCATATATGCAAGCACGTACCTGCAGTGGCTCAGGCTAGAAGCTGGGGGGCGCTAGAGCAGCCGCCCCTTTCCTTCCATAGTGCTGAGCTGAGCGGGGGTTGTCCAGGCCCTGGCAGGACACTATGATTAGGGAGGGGTCGTCCCCCCCCTCCCCGCTTCTGACCAGCCCAGCCCAGCAGGGAATTGATAACACAGTGTTTATCACCCTTAACTCATTATTTATCACCCTATTAAGAAAACAACCGAGGGACATTACCAGCTACCTGTTCATTCTGACATTTTCCCATCTGCCACAGCACAGACCATAGCCAGCATGGGGTCTGTTACCTAATATACAGACACCTCTCAGCAAGGCAGAATGGTAGGTGAGATTTCTTGCTTCGCAGGAGTAGTGGTTGGGATGGGAGGAAGCAGCTTGTAGTCTCTGCCAAGCTCCAGCCAGGGAGCAGATGGGAGGCGCCAGCCCTGCTGTGAAGCAGGAGAGCCCTGCCCAGCCCAGAGAGCATGCTGGGATGCTGGGGGAGTCTGATTTTTAACTTAAACCAGCAAGGGGTCTGGGACAGACCTTGCATAAACCTATTTGACCCAAATCAGTTAAGTCTGATGCTACATTCAGCCAGGTTTATCTCAAACTTGTTTCAGCCATTTTCAAACTAGTTTATGTACAATGAATATCTGTTCTGTTACAGGTTTAAACCAGTTTCTGATCACTTAAACTGGTTTATGTGTAATGTCTGTTCCTAGTCCCAGAGATGAGATCCCTGTGACTTACATAGCAGAGTTCTCAGGAAGGTTCAATAAGAAAATAAAATGCAATATGGCCTTTAAAACTTAGCATGTGTTTAAATATACTTAACACAAGCGGCTGCACATTAGTAAAGCAAGTGTTAAGTGTGTTTGTATTGTAGCAAAGCTATTACTTTCCATGTAAGGAGTATCTCAAGATTGTATCAAGTAACATATGTTCAGTTATTGTCTCCATGGAGCAGTTGGCCAATATGTCAGGTTTGTTCTCACCCAGCCATGATGTGAACCAGGGACCTCTCTGCTTTATCAAGCCTCCAGGTGGGATTAGGAAAGCCACACATCAGGAGGAAGTATTCTGGGCTTTTACTTGTCAGATTCCTCCAGAATCAAGTTGAAAGCCAGATGATTGCAGCCCTGGACTGTCCCAAGGCTGGGGCTAAAAATCACATCGTTGTCAGCACTGTACCTGAATCAGTTCAAGACTACTGCAGTGTCAAGGCTGGGATCAACAATCAGCAAGCTGTGCATGCTAAAATGGTAGTAAACATTACCATTCAAACTGTTCAGAACACACTAACTTCTAATACTGCACAGATTTTAACATGTACTAAGTGTCCCATGAGAGATGGCCCTAAGGAGTTGGCTGATACTTGCCATCAGCCCTTGTTCTTTAGTTTCAGTAAATTTCGACAAATTATGGACCAACTGAACTACCAGACATTTGAGTTAAATGTAGGAAAGCTCCGCAACTTGAGGCAGCAGTAGGGGTGAGAACTTAAGGCCATAATCTGATTTCTTCTCTTTTTAGTTATCACATAGCTCTAATTTTGTCTGGTAGGACTGAATGTTTGCCTGATTGTGTTAAAATATCAAATGTCAAATTCTGGTTCACTTAACTGTTTCATGTCTTTAATTTTAGGATACATAAGGAGTTGAAGGTTTTGAGTGCTGGTGGAAATACTTGAACAGCCTACAAGCAGAAAGAATAATACGCTGAATGGATGAGACTAAAACTGGACTATTTTGGAAGAGAACTTTTTTTTATGTTTTGCAGTGTTCAGAAGAAGTTGTTCTCTAGGACTTCTAACAAATAAGATGACAAGAGTTTTTAAAATTTAAAACTCAAAATGAATGTTGAAAAAATAGAAGAGGAGGCAAGGAATGGTTTGCAGTCTCCCTTACTTATCCAGGATGAAAATGGAGATAAAACTACATGCAATAAAACTAATCTGACCCCCTTAATGAATTGCACTACTGGTACAAACAGAAATTCAGTTAGTCAAAATAATAAAATTGAGCAAGCAGAGGATGCTGATTTTAAAGATATGGGTGATATTAAAAGTATTTCTTTAAACCAACAATGTATTGGAACATTTGATATACTAAACACTGCTGGTGAATTTGTTAGTGTGAGCCCTGTCTTGTCAGATACAGGTGCCACTTGTGTGCCTTCTGCAGCTGAACAGACTTGCATGTGTGTCTTGGACCATAACTTAAAGGAACCTACTAGATTCCGGAAAGATCACCTTGACCTAACAGGAAGGCAGGGTCAAAGTACTGAACAATTCATTCCTTACAATTTGACTGATACAAACTTTACAATGCACCTTACCACTTCAGAACTGAGCCAAAATGTTAACAGCAGAGATGAAGCAGGTCACGCTAATATGACATTAGATGTTGCTAATGTTGATACATCTCTTGCGATATCTAAAACCCTGGAAGAAATGAGAGAAGATGAACATGAAGACATGTGTTTTACTGTGTGCACTTCTTCTGAGGATGTGATTGTGAGAAAAAGTTTTGATACGAGTAGTCCTGAAAGAACTCTTAGTTCTTCAGTGCTGGAAGCATCAGTGGGCCCAAATACATCAAACAACATCTGTTCAGATTTGGCGATGTTACCTTCTGCTTCTTCAGATGCCTGTGAACAGCCTTTGAAAAACACCAATTATGTTGATATAGCATCACAAAACAGAGAATCCTTCAAAAAAGAAATACAGCCCTTAAAGCTAGTTGGGGAATGGGTTGAACCTCATTGTAAGAGCTCAATATCACCAGAGTACTTTTGTATGTATGAAGATGCACCAACGAAGTATTTGCATAGCACGCCTGAACATAATAAAACTGACAAATGTCCTACCAAAACAGGAGTGAATTATTTGGCAAATGATTTATGCATCCTTCCAATACAGAGTTTTGATGAAAGCATAGAACAAAAGCAAATTTTAAATGGAGCAAGTAAACATATAACCAAAGAACAAAATGCCTTTAAAAATAGTGTTTTCCAGGATGTGCAAAGCAAGTCAGTGGCATATGAATCAATACCAGAAAGTATAGCAAAACCAGAAGGGACTGTTTCACCTGAGCTCAAATGTGAAGCAACATTTGTAGTCTTTAGTCCCATAGCTTATGAAAGCCATTCTACAGCGTGTACTTCGACACCTATAGAAAAGTCCAAAAACACAACATTTTCTGTTTCAGCTTTATCAGAAGTTGGCAGCATCCCTTCTAAACTAGGAAAGAATGATATGGTAGAGAGAGAACACGGTAGAAGAACTTCACTTAAAAGTAGTTTAGGACAAATTGCAGGAAAACCAGCAAATGGGTCTCCTACTACATTGATGGCAACCAAAACTAGAAAAATTGAGATTGTTAGCTTTCCAAAACCGAACTTCAAAAATGTTAAACCAAAAGTTATGTCCAGACCTGTGATCCAGTCCAAAGAGAGTGCTTCATCAAAATCTCTGGGATTGCCTCAGCTATCTACTATTTCCTCATCTTCACCAGTTTCTTCCCCAAAGCAATTGTCCTCTTCCATCAAAACTTTGAAAAAGAGAATCTATTTAGATTGTGACACTAAAGTTGCAACGTCGTTGAATAAGCAACATGTTCATAAACAAGTCTCTCCTAGCCAACTTGTATGTGCTGCAACTCATTCCAAAAACGCTTCCCACAGGGTACCAAAAACGCCTGCATTAAAGCAGAATCCAGAAGATGCTGATAAAGCAAGCTCTTCTAATTCTGCGTACTCCTCTGTTGCTGCTACAGCTGTAACATATGAACAGAATTCAAAAGGGACATTAAGTAATAAAATGGAAAATGCAAATGCATTGGCACATCCGTGTATCTCAAATGTCCATCAGACTTGGGCTGAAAATGAACAAAATCTCAATATCAGAAGACTTTCAGAAACTGAGGCATTAAGAAGAGATGCAGTGAATGAAACATTTGAATTATCGTCTGTCCCCCTGGTAAGCTGTGGAGTTGTTTAAAATAACTAACATTTAATATCTAAAATCTAGCTTAATATTAGAGATTTGGTTTGATTTTTAATATCTAAAATATCTAGATAGATTGATATATCTCATGATTTATAAACTTACTTTTAAAGATTAAAAAATGACTAGTTTGGATATCCAAGCTAAGCAAATCTACTCTGAAATGTATTGGCTATGCCTTTCACTATCACTTTACCATTTTTGTAAAGGATGCCTTTTGAGTATTTGTCAGCCCAAATCTAATGGACTGACCCAAAATTCTGCAGCTGATTAAGTCCTAGGATATAAGTCAAAGACTGGGAGCCAGAAATTCAGAGGTGCGTGTTCCAGACCCTACCCATGACGTAACTAGCAAAAATTCCATTTACTTTAGTGGGGGTAGGATATTTTACCTACTGTTGCTTACTACTGAGCCAATGACCATAGAATAGTCAATAGTCAAATTCATTTGGTCTTTTCCATTACACTAAACATCATTAAACTGAAACAACTTTTTGAAAGATCTGCCAGATACTTCTAAAACTCTGTGCTGTAGCAGTTCAAAATGGAACCCTTTTTAGTTCAAAATGAAATTACCAAGGCAAACTTTGGGATTACAAAACAACATAATATTTTAAATTTAAGTCTAAAATGCCATAATTTCATAAACAAGGACTCTACCTCTTTTGCTTTGCTCTGATTTTTGGTGGCTTCTAAGGGAAGATGATGGGCCTTCCATCTATTTAATTGCCAAGATGGAAGCCTCTGGTTTATTATTTCTGTTAAAATGTGAAAATCCCTTGGATTACATTGTTAAATGCTCTTTGCATAGAGCATTTAGAATATTGCACTGGAGTTTATCTAAATTCTTATTAGGGAAAATAATATCTCCTTTTTTACTGAAGCCAATTCACTTTGGGAAAAGGGTCGTGGCTCAAATTAGAAGTGAAATTTGTGGCTCTAAATGTGTCCAAATTATTATGAAACTATTTGGATTACCCCCCCCAAAAATGGACAGGAGCATCTCTGGGTGCTGATATTAGAAATTATTTTTATCTTATGGGGGCTTTTGAGATTCTCACTTCCTTCTGCAATTAAAATTTGACAGTATTACTTGACAGGGTGTTGAAGCTTGGCCCAGTGCTTTACATCCATTTCTGAATTTAACTATCAACTCAGTTGAATGGGAAAAGGCTTCTGTCTGGTTAACTCCATGTGCATTCAAGAAAGAGAGTAGCCCTCAATTGATCTTGATTGCTGATTTACAACCCTACTTAGTTTCCTGGTTTTGGTTTTAAGATGTCATAATCATAGTACTAGAGCAACAGAGTACATTTAACTCAGCCCTTTAACTCTCATTCTTCTCAGTTCTGTAACCCATGTAAGTGACTTCTAGTGTTTCAAAATACACAAAGTAAATCAAAGTACCTGGAAAAAAGGGGGGTGAGGGGAAGGAGGGATATTGGTATTAATGCTTAAAATTAAACTTGACTTGTTAAGTGTTTTGTCTTTTTATGCATAGACTTCATATAATTGTCCATGGCTAATTTGGAATTAGTTTTATGTCCTTTGAAAAGAATTGGTACAAGGTGTTACACTTTTAACATACTTCAAGTTTTACGTCCTTTCTCTCTTCTTCCCCCGCCCCCCCCCCCCCCCCCCCCCCCCCCATGGGATGCTCCATTTCTCCCAGCATCACAGCATTCATGAGCTGCCTGGTACCTTCTTTGTCCTTTTCCCCCCCCCCCCCCCCCCCCCCGCTCTTGTGGGCCATACAGTAGTTTCATGCATATGCTAAGCTCTTAGTTGCAAAGGATATTGTTCATCTGTCTCTTCTCTCATGGATCAAATGACAGTAAGTATCTAACCAATGTCATGTTGACTAGTAACTTACTGATAATTGACACCAAAACATATTTAGCTAGCAATAGACAACTTTGTTCTTAAAACAGAATTGTGTTTTACAGGTTTCTTCAGTTAAAGCTGGAGCAGCACAAAGAAAAAATATGCACAAGGAAGGTACCATCACTCTAAGAAATACGCCAGTTTCAAAGGCTGAAGTGGCAGTCTCCGTATTTAATTCCAAGCGAGGAAGTGAAAATAAAAATGTTTGTGCAGTTAAACGATCACCTCCTCAAAGACCTGTTCTGCTCTCAAGCTCAGGTGAGAGTTTCTATTAGGGTACTACATAATTTTCAAGAATTGGTACAAGGTATTACACTTTTAACATACTTCAAGTAAATAGGAAAGTAATAATACAAAATTCTGTTTTAAAAGTGCTAAATCATAGCGTGTAAGAAACCTAGCATATTTGAAACCCATCAGGAGTCCTGTAATCCATTAAAATGAGATGCTTGCACAAATACTATTTGTGTTTTTATGTTCAGCAGCTTTTCCTAGACACTTTCTCTTCAGTTTCTCATTATCATGAGAACAGACCCAAGGAAACCAGTGTAGTATGTTTGTGCTTTTCTTCCAGTGCATGTCAATCCAGTTTCCAACTTCTAATGCTCCATTTTCATAGATCACAGAAAATCTGCAATGGCAGCACTTCAGGTAGTGATCTATAGGGCTGTTTGAAACTTTGGTCCCTGATTTTGTTCAGTAGAGATTTGGCTCTATTTGGTGGCCGAATCTCCGAATCCGAATCAAATCAGAGGACTCTTCAATCTTTCTGAATTGAATTGGAGATTTGGACATAAGAAAGCTTTAAATGCTTTTTCTACATACCTCTAGGTAGCAGATGGCTCGTGAACACTGCAATGCTAGGACGCATGGAGTGTCCCACAGAAGCGCAGGGGGCTCCCTAGCGTGCTCGGCAGCAGACTCAGAAGTGGACCAGAAGCACTTCCAGGTCCATCGGAGAGCATGCTGGGGGACCCCCTGCACCCCCTCGGCTCAGTGACTGATGCCTCCTGGGTCTGGGGGGGGGCACCTGGGGTCCCCCTGTGGCCGATCTCCAAGCCAGTACTTCCAGTCCACTTCTGGGTTTGCCACTGAGCACGTGGAGGGCCCCCCTGCACTCCTGTGGGACACCCCATGTGTCCCAGCATAGCAGCGATCGCGAGTCACTCCTGCTACCTCAGGGTATGTAGAAAAAAACTTTTAAAGCTGTTTCTGCGTCCGAATCACTGATCCTCTGAATTGGCATCAAATTATCAGATTCAGATTTGGCCGAAACAAATAGGGGACAGTGATCCAAATCAAATCACTATTCCTGATTCGGGCTGAATTGAATATGGATGGCTTCGCGCACCCCGATTGATTTACTGCTTGTTTGGCTCCAGAGCAGAACTATGGGAGTCTGTGGCCCTCAGCCATTTCTTTCCTATCTTTTTCCCTCTAGTGAGAGGTAGCCTGATGTCAAGCACAAAGCATCTGACCTAAGCTGGCTGTTGTCTATAGAAGCTTATGCCTCTTGGAACTAGTTACTCTAAGGTGCCCATCCTTCCTTGCCTCTTGTCTTTTCCCTCTGTAAGTAAAAGGCAGAGGAAATATATGACAAGCCTAGTTTAACACCATCCTTAACAGCCTTATCTGATATAGGAGTGAGAGGCAGTTTGGGGTAAACCCATTCAGTTGCACAGTGTGTGTTTCTTTGGCTGAATGATTTATACCAAAAGGAATTTTTTTCAAAAGTATTTAGTATTGTAAATACTTAAGTATTTAACAGTGTATATGGATTAAGCCCTAAATGATTGGACTTTAAATGAATGCCACATACTTTTTTTTGTAAAGCACTTAAAAATTAGTTAAGTATATCCCTATGATCCCCTCTACACATCACAGGTATCATGCAGTTAACTGGTTAATTGTGCAAACTTTAACACGAGCTGCACATACAATGTAGTTACACACCATAGAAAGCCCCAACCCACTATAAACTTAGACCTTAACAATGTGTATGAACTTTTATAGCTCATTGTTATTGAGCTTAATTGGCACATGTAGCAAGGTCTCCCCTGTGGCCTGGAGCTGACAGGGTTCCCAGCCACAGGGGTGCCCTTCAGCTGATGGGGTTTCCAACCACAGGTGTGCTCTATGCCCAGTCAAAGTTGGGAGTCCTGCAGCTGCAGGGACTCTAACCCCAGCAGCTGCTAACTTAGATCCCAGCAGCACAAGGAGTCAGAATCCCATAGCTTTTGATGCTTGGTCTGGCAGTTTAGGGCACCCCTGCAGCTGGGAGGGGATGCTGGGTCTGGCAGCTGGGAGTCCCTCAACTGGGGGGTGCTCCTGCCTGTGGGAGCTTGCTTCTTGCTGGTGCATGTATGTGGTATAGCAGGAGGCACGATTGTGTGGATTGCATGTTAGATACCATCACACCTTTTACCTGCACATGTAGAGGGGGCCTATTTTGCAGATGTAGTTAAAGTGATTGAAGTGCCCTTCAGGTCATTTTTTCCAACTCCCACTTTGCTATTCTAGCCACTAGACAAGAGCTACATTACAAACTGTTTATCCAACAACTTCACCTGTTTCAAAGTATTAGAGGACCTTTAAAATGTCAGTCTTTTATCATGTCAGGCAGCATTTTTAGGGTTAACATTTATTTCTGCCCCAATTTTTAAATCTGAAATTTGGGAGAAAATCAGGACTCACTCATATCTTCATATCTCATCTGGCAAAGAATGCATGGAGGAGGGTGTGGCAGTATTACATGGAAAGATATTTACATGTGTAGCTTAGCTACACAACAGTTGAGGAGAGGGAATAGAACCATAAATTTGCTTGGAAGTTGTGAAACCCAAATGGAAAAACATTACATTTTTTAAGGTATGGTGTTGAATAGTACCCTAGGGAATTTGTAGAAATGGCATTTTTTTAAGGTGTATAGAACTTGTCTTAACAAAACCTTTTGAAAAGTTGCAATCCTACCACTCCACAGAGGGAAAATTAGGGGGCCTAATAAAATTAGACTTTCACTTACAGGGCCAGATTAACCCTTTAGTGGTCCCTAGGCAAACAAAGTTGTGGGCCCCTACTTAATAGTGTATACTTTTTACATTACTTTTTTCACTCAATTATAATATGTAAAATGAGCACAGCTGGGCCCCTTTTTCACTTAGGGCCTTAGGCACGTGCTTAACTTGTCTATACATTAATCTGGCCTTACTCACTTATATGGGCACATTAGCTGTTCCAGCTTGGTCCTACATGGCTTTGAAGTTAACTAGTTGCACTTGAAAGTTGCTAACAACTTGTGCAGGGTGGTAAAAGTTTTTGTAAGTTTTATGTACTTGATTTTTTTTTAACTCACTGTAAAGCAGTTTGAACATAAATGAGAACTTGTGAAATGCTGTAATTTTTAAAACACATACACCCACATTTTTATCCAGAAAAACCTGATCTTCATTTTTCCTCGCTTTCACACCCAATTTAAGATTTAAATCTTAAATTGGGTGTGAAACCCAATTTAACCAACCAACCCAAGGACTTTCCTTAATTATACCTGGGTGGGAAGTGTTTCAGGGACAGATTTGAATTTCCTGGGGGAGGGGAGGAGGAACTAATTCCGCCTCTTCAAAATACTCTGTTTGCTCTTTTTTCCCCCTCCCCCCAGAACTCTGCAAACACAAAGGACTATTTTATTGAGCTATGGATGGAGCAGCTACAAATTGCTTGCAAATCTACTTGCTATCTTTACTAGCTAGAGCCTCTACTTTCCTATATTAAGCTCTCCTTAAAATCTTATATTGGGTAGCTGTAGCTTTTGGCCCTTCATTGAGCCTTGAGCTATTCTTAGCCTTTGCCACCATCACTTGTAGTACTTAAAAGATTTCTTGTATCCACTGAAGTGATTATACAGCTGGCCTGGTACCACTTAAGTGCATTTTGAGGCACTGAACTAAGTGCTCATAATAAAATTTGTGTGTGCTTGGGCTGTTTCCCCCCAGAAGTAAGGGTAAGTGTTATCAAGAATTGTGGTGGAGAAAATGAGGAAAGACAAGACCCCCATACAGGGTGGGAGGGACTCGTAATATTTCCTTTTTAAGTGTAAAATGTCATTTGCCTGACTCTGAGTCCAATACACAGGGATGAAAAATTACCGTCTTTGACTGGTTTAATGGATGTAGTACACCCTTCCTGAGGAACTTCTTGTTCCAATGAGACTTCTTGGGCCACTTACTGTTACACTGACAGACTACTACAAAGGGAATTTCCCAGTCTTTTGCCAGAAAATAGGAAAGGGAAGATGCAGAGTACAAACGTCGTAATAATGTACTCCAGTGTTACATGTATCGTCAGCATTCCCGTACTGACAAATAGCAGCAGGGGTGCTTTACACTAAAGCTGGTTCAACAAACTTTTAGTTAAAGCCCCTAAGCTGCCATTTTTTCAGTGCAGGGACACCGATACACATGACACTGCGGGCCCTTTTTAAGTAGAGCAGCTCTCAGAACCACTCTAAAGCCCTCCCTGCCCCCTGCTCCTCCCCCCTCCCCCGAGCATGTCTATAAACACCCAGAGCCTCTTCCACTGTTAGAGGACAATATACTATTTCCAGGTACATGGAGTGAAATCCTGTGTCAAAAATAAGTTCTCAGGTGCCATACTCTAGAGTCTACACATACATTCATCCCCTTCCCCATGAACATGCTGGCTCAAATATAAAATGGAAAACACAAAGCAGAAAGATTAGCACAAAACTGTGTATGGCTAAAGGAACTTGTAGCTTCAGCTCACTTGCTCTCCTTTCACCCCACATGGGGTGAAGGGAGAGCATCTTTTATTGTAGTCCAACCATGCTCATTTTCGTGGATGCTACGTGCGAAGTTACACTAACTATTATCTTCTGTGGAGTCCTCCTTTTCCCTTAAACATTGAGATAGTTTACTATAGAACTGAAACTGACGGGCACCTGTTGATATCCTGATTTTTTTTTCTGTGTTGAAGTTCCTTTTGAATATCATTAATGTGGGCTTCAGCTAACTTATCAGTAAGAATGGCATCAACCCTTGAATTTCACTGTAAGGCGTGAGGGGAGGTGGCTAATCATACCTCGACTAAATTCTTTAATGGCCACATCATCTGTGTCAGTTTATCTTCGGCAGATAAGGGCTCTAGAATGAACCATTCTTTCTGAGCTCTGCAGTATGCCTTTTCAATAACTTGAAATCAGATGTCTCATTGCAGATGGACGTGAGTGTAACTCATGGTTTTAG